CCCCCCCCCCCCTCCCCGGGAAATGTGATGTGGTTGTGAATCACAACAAAATTCGCTGCATTTGTATTCTAGAAGAGTTTTATTTTAAACACGGTTGACCCTAATGAGAAGCATTTCTTGATGCCAAGACTGCCTTTTGAAGTTTTACATCACCACCCATGAATGTTGGTCAATTCTGCAACAGAAGTCCTCTCCTGATATGCTGATACTTACAGTTGTGAAATTCAAGTAATGGATTTCCAGTTGCTTGCACATTAAATATAAAATTTTGTTTTTCTTTAAAATTAGTGTTACCTGTAACTGTTTCTGTTTGCAACTTCTTGCCCTCATCCACAAACAGAAAGGAGAACATTGTTGTCTGCTGCTTCATCATGAAACTGAACATGAAAAACAGATGCACTTGCAAATGAATGACATCTGCCAGAATGGAATATTATCGTGACAGAATGCCCGCCAAAAATTTGCAGGTCTTGCTTTGAAGTTTGAAAGGAATAGATGGTGCGGTTTTCTTTTTAATCTGTGTATATTTATTTTTTCACAAGAATATACCAATGGCACTGGTGAAACAACTACATATTTTTTCTTTTACCTGTTGAATTTTCAAGAATTATGCAGTAATAAGTGGTGCTACTGCCAGTAAATTTTACCTGAAAAGGAGATCACTGGGAGATAGTAAATGTTTGTATTGTGGGATAGGAGTAAAGCCTGGTTTTTCTGGGACCAAGTGAACTATTCGTAATATAGAGGTGTTCATATTATAGACGTGAAAGTAGGGAGGGGTATAACTCAACAGTAAACTGAGAAGAGAGAAAGATGGCTAGGAATAAGGAGCATTGAGAAATCTTGAAACATTTAGACGTAACATTTCAAGATACAGCATACCATTTGTGTTGGCATTAGTATAGCTAATCATACGGTTTTGAGTTCAATTTGGAATTAATTTGCACGACTGAATTTTTCAAAAAGCTGAAAATGCACGAGCTGCTTCAGCGAGTGAAATTTCAGCTTTTTGAAAAACTCACAAGTGCAAGTTAATTCCAAATTGAATGAGAAAAACTGTATGATTACTTATTAATAATATAAACATGAAAAAATTGCGTGGAGGAAGTGCTGGAAGACCTTTCTTGAAGCCATTTTTTCTCACTTGAGAAAACGTTTTTCAAAGTTTCCACACAAAATTTTCCTCATCACTTTACGTAATATCATTGGCTTTGAAAATTTCCTGGTCTTTCAGCCAATCATATTCCAGAATTATGATGTGTAATTTGCACTGGTGTTACACTTTTTGCACCGGTGTTACACTTTTTGCACTGGTGTTACACTTGAACAGCACTGCTCTCAGCCAATCAGAATCGAGTATTTTTTTCATGTATATTATTAATGGGGGAACACTGCCTTGCGATTGCTTAACCCATGTGACTTTCATCAATAGTGCGACAAACAACCCCACTTATCTCCCAGCACTATAATGAGCTGAATGACAGACAGCATGTGCTGGATCGGACAAGAGTATCAGTTAGCAAGCAATATTCAAAGGCGATGAAAAAACAAGCTTGGGGGAAGTCACTGTGCAGACTTAACCACACTACACATAAGTGGCCGTTAGTTTATCATGTAGGAATACATGACCAACCCTGTCTCCAAAGGGAGGGAGGGAGAAAAAATTTACAATAGATTTACAGTAAATAATAACTGTGTTGCTTAGTCAAACATGAAATGAACTCTGAAATGTTGTTTGAGCTTTTAAATGTAGACGTTTCAAGGGTAAGCTGTACTGCTGAACAGCTTACCCTGGCATGTGTAACATCTTAACATGAATAGTGCTTTAATGCTTTGCACCAATGCTGTGGTTTGTTACAACGTTCTGAAGGTAACAAAGCTATGATGTTTTAGGTTTAGCTACAATAAAGCTTACAGTTTGCTGACCTTCGAAATATAACTGCTCAATAGCTCTATAGAAAGCGATGCCGCCATGAACGGCTCATTGAGAACGTATGTCACGCTCCATTAACTTATTAGCTTAATGAGCAGAGAGCTTGCTTATGTTTATAAGCTATATGCGGGAGTAGTTCCTGGATCCAATGGTATTGATATTGGACTTGAATAAAAGGTCCCATAGCAATCCCATATCAGATGTTAGTATATGTCCAGCTACTATCAAGGGGAATTATATGGGACTTTGTGAAATATGTAGCAATCCCATAGAACAGTGTCAGGATCAGGTGATGTTCATGCAGGTATGGGGCTCACCCAGGGCTTTCATTAAGGACGGCAACTTGTAACACCTGTTACGGTTGAGTATGCTTGATGGACCCTTGATTTTATGGGTGAACTGTTCTATAGTTCATACAATTCATCTGACAAGTTTTTTTACCGGTGTGAACATAAAGGCTACAGTTGACTTAAAACTTAATGACAACCCTGCACACCTATACCAATCCCAAACCACATGTTATGCAGAATGTATAGAACTTTACAAACAGTAGCCATCCCATATAGCAATAAACAAAAGAGTAAGGAAAGTAAAAGACAGTGGCTTTGTATGGGTTTGATATATTTAGGGCAATCACTTTTTCCTTCTTGTCATGACCCCCTTGGGGTAATGGGCTAGTATTAAGGGCAACAGCCCATGTTAAATCCACCTACCAAACATTAGTATGGGCCATAGCTTCTTTCACTTAAGCTTGCGCCATATGTGTCCCATACATATACCATTTGATTCTGTAAGAACACTACTTTTACAAGTAACTGAGCATTATATAATAAATTATACTAAATAAATATAATTTGCCCCTTACTTGAGTTAAATCTAATTGTCCTTCCTTTTTCAGTGGTCTATCCACTTTAAGAAAATTAAAAGATTACCTATCTAACAATAGAGGTAAAAGGTTATACTACTTGTTATGTTATTAAAGTGATACGTAAGTCTGTTTTACTTCCTGGCTATATTCTTTGTTCTTATACATACACTTTTCTATAGAAAGTTAGACTTATTAGATTGCAAGAAATTGGTAAGACAGCCAATAACCCTTGTTAATTGTTTTTTTAGTTTTAAGTGTTGACTTGAATTGTGAATTTCTCATGGAATCATAAAATGCACTGCCAGAAGTTGAAGTTATTACTGATATTTTAATAAATGTGCTCAGAGAAACTCTACTTTTGAAATGTTTACTAGTATATAATTTCTGACATTTAACAAAAACCCTTTACTTTCTAGGACATCAAGAAACATTTCGATCCTGTGTGCTATGATAGGAAGAACATTTGTAATCAGGATGAAATTACAGTATCAGAGCAAGCTGAATATAGTGGGATGTATTTCAATGAATTTGAAGGCAAAAGGACAAGCTGCTTTAAAGAACAGCTGGCTGAAAAAAAAGTGGAATTTAGATGCCCGGCAGTTGGTGGTATTGGCAATAGGCAACTAAATGTGGGGGCTACTGGTCAGACTATTACTTTGGGGAAATTTAAGGCAAGTCTTAACATTATATAGCTTTAAATTTTATAATAGCAGTATTTACTATGAGTAATATTGCCATGTCATTTCCCAAAAGTGTTCTGTTTGTTGCAAAGATTACAGGTAAAACTGGTCATTTCCTTTGTCATAAAAAGCAGTTACAATAAATACCCTTTTGTGTCATCAATTATGCTTGGAAAGTTATAGGTGAAGATAATGTTAGACTTTTTGGTCAAGTGAATATGCTTTTCACTGACTTTGAACAGGAAAATCATGGACTGAGTGATTGCACACCAGTTGCGTCCCTGTGCATGTTAAGCTATTCACTCACTGACAGGCAAGTAGCATATGCTTTTGTAATACCTAATTACAAAGCAAGTGAAGTCCATCAGTTATTGATCGGTCAATCAGTCAGTTACAAATAGGATGTGTCGGTATGTTACAGTCACTCATGCATAAGAGCACTGCTTGCTATAGCCACCACTCGGTTAACTCTACTCTATCTCCATTTCATTCCTTATTCTTCTGTGGGGAGTCGGTCTGAGTGTGATCTTTTCTATGCTGACTGCACCCCAATAAAAATGCCAAATAGTTTTATGTGGCTAATAATTCTGTTGTAAGCACTCGATTACTTTCCCTTCAGAAAACTGTGGGTTTCTTTATTTCGGCCTCCTCTTACTCTGATATTCCCCTTGATGGGTTATACCACCAACTGAAAATAAAACTCTTAATGTATTTATATTTTTAGGTAGCTAAATTTTCACATGAATACCAAAAACCTTGAAAGAGTTTTATTTAGTGAAATCTTTAACACTGTTCGATGCTTTTATGAGATATCCATCTCTGAGTGAGAGTAACGTTAAATTTGTATATATACTGTAACATAGATAGTTTTTTTTTTAATTTAACAGTTTAATTCAAATATGTTAATAATATTTTTGAGTCACTTCAAGTTTGTTTGTTGTTTGGTGATGATTTTAAGACGTATTTCTGATGACATACTTGTCCAAAGTTCAAGCTCCATTTGTTGCTCACTCAATAGTTCCAAATTATTTCGAATCTTTTGCAATCCAAATAATTTGTTTTATATCCGATCGTGGAAAGTATTGTGAAGTTCACTTTAGATCAACTTTCAGTAGAGGAATCTGTAGACCATCCTACGATTCACCCACCAGAAGCTTAATCATTCCATTTGAAGGTTTCGCACATGGTGAAAATTAATTATAATCATGAAGTACTTTTAAGTGAATGAAATACATGTCTTCGAAATTTAATTATTTTGCACCCAAAAAGACAACGCAACATTCCCTAAAATCAACCCAGTACACATTTAAACATTGCACAAAACTATTTGATTGTTCTAAAGACGGAAGAATAATGTGGTTTCGCTTGTGAGGCTCTCGAACTTGTTTAATAAAATGGTGAGTCAAGTGACGATTTTAACGGGATTTGGTTATTTGCATTTTTCTTTGAAATAAAAGGATATTTTGCCCAAAAAAACTATCCAGTAGTTTTCGTCATGCCTTTAAGCCTATCTACCATAAAAATATGAGCGGAATCGAATTTTCGATCCTTACCGAGTGGCCAATTTTGCCGAGCTATGTTTCATATTATTTTATGAACAGGGACTCTTAATTGTTGGCCAGTGTCCAAATGAACAAGTGAAAAACATCAACTACAATTAGCATTCTTTTCTCTGCATGTAATTAGTTTTGCCTCTGCTACTTGTCAATGATGACGTTTGGATAACTTTGACGTAGAGCTTGTCTAACTTCCAGAAATCTGAAGAGTATGAAGTGGGTCCAGTCCATGAAGACTTCAGTGGCGCCCAAAGTCCCTGTTCTAGCAACGAGAGCGAGGTAATTACGGTTTATCACCTTTACTCCATTTGGATGTACTCTTTGTTCAAGGGTTTGATTTCCCAGTGTGGGATGTGGCTATCTGTTTGCACTAGTTCACTATTTTTAACAATTGTTCGTCTTAGTGGCCCCTGATCATGTTGATTGGTGACTTATTGAATACATGGTGTGATCGATTGCGATGATACTCCTAGGTTCAAACTGTGTACCAGGAGAAAGTAACTCTTCATGGTGTCTTAACGTTTAATTTGCAGCAAAGAGAGCTTGCTGCACAAGGAAACGTAAACAGCATTCCACTTGCACTCCGCGTGGCTAACATGATTGTGACCCAGTATGCGAAAGGTGATGAAGCTCTCAAGCCTGAAGAAGTCAGTGCCTTGCAGTCAGCGTTTGGTCTCTTGATGTCTGTCTCATCGAGCGGACCAGATTACAACAGAAACGGAATAGGAGGCAAATTTGGTTATTCAGCTTCAGATATGACCCATAACAAGACGGTTGAAAGCAGATTGGCTGACGTTGAAACCAAGGTAGCACATCATGAAGAACTCATTCGTTCTAGACAGATTAGCGTGGAGCAAATTAAAGCCGACCATCGTATGACTTGTAACACTGTTCAAGTTCTTAAAGACGATGCTGCTAAGCTTCAAAGCGATTTTGGTGAAATGAAGTCAGTGTTTCAGCATCAGTTCACAGAAATTTTCCATTTTCTGAGCATGCAAACTCACACTCACGAAGAGCTCAGTAGATTTATCAGAAACGTGAAAGTAGACATGGAGGAAGGGATCCAAACATTGGAGCGACGTTCACAATCACTCAAAGTCATGGTGGATAACTTGACCAAAACAATTACTAAATTACACTTGGTTTGTGAAGTTTGTGGAGCACCTACTATACAGGGTGCTCCGTGAGTCTTAGTACATGCAATTATCACTGTAGTCTAGAAGTCAGTAAAAAAAAATAGTAACTCAGTTTAAGCGGAACCTTATACGCATCATTAGGCTACTGGTTGGAATATGCCAAAGTTTGCGTTTTGTCGCCATCGACCAATACACGATTGTAGGCTCCTGGATGCAGTAGGGGTTTTAAATACGGTTCTTTATCACTGTTGGTTTACAAGACTTTCTAAAAATAAGTACTATGTATTATACGTATCAAGAATAAGGAGGGGTTATGTCATTAAAATACAATCAACGGCGTGGCTCGTGTAATTGCCAAACAGAGCTACTAGCTACCTTCTAATTGTTCAGCAGCAATCACTGACCATTCAGCAACAAATCGTCAAGAAATGTGTTGAAAACTGTAAAAGATTTGTAGAAGAAACTAGAAAACAGAACAATACAGACACACGGTTAGTCTTAAGTGTTTTTTTGTACGTCATCCGATAGAAAACTTCTGGAATTGAGTTGTAGGTATTTGCTTATGGCAGCATTTGCAAAGTACTAATTAAGAGCATTTATTTATCTTTATAGTTAGGGTAATGATAAACATAGAAAAGGACTTTGTTACTTGTACCCGAGGCATTTAGGCAACCAGCGCTGGTAAACAAAGATGCCATCAAAGTACATTTTATGTATGGTATATTTCAAAAAATGCGAGTTTACGTGATGGTGTTTGGATGTCTGATCTTAATTAGGAAATACGGAGAAGGAAAAAAATTGAAAGACGGAGAAATAAAATCGTTAAAATTTAAGCTACTTAAGTTCAGATATCCAAACACCGTCACGGTTATGATTTCCCGTGTTTCAACGTGATGAATATTAAATGAGTTTTAGAAGCCTTCTTATCAAATGGCACTTGGGCACGCTAAGCAGCATCAGCTTTTTGTAGCCCAAGGACAGTTTTGAGATCGTTTGAAATGTGTTCACAGACTTGTGAGATATGGGTTTGAATGCGCACATGAAATATCATTACTGTTTGGAACAAGCTGTACAGCTTTTAGGTAAAAAAAAAAGAAAACAGGTACAGCCTAATAACTAAAGAAATAGAGTAAGTTTATAGGTTTAGTTACTTAATTTCAAAGAATACATGCGTTAAGTTATAGCTATAGGATTAGCCCGCATGCCTGTGATAGTTACGAAACAGTGATAAACGGAATGTTGCTTCAGTTCTTGCAAGGGCGTGATAGTATCTTGTATCATTGTATTATATTTGTCTCGTAAAAATTGAATCAGGTGACACCCTGTAAAAGATCAAGAAAATATATAAATTAGATTAAGTATATTGATGTAAAGTTTAGCAGATAGTAATTTTACGACCAATTTTATGTTTTTAGAGCATAATATAACAACTCGACACCGGTTTTAAGAGTGTACTTTTTAAAATGATGCAATTCAAAAGGAGGACTGAAATTAAAATAAGTATTTTTTTATGGTTTGATTGTGCGTTTCCTATTTAAGAATTGTTTGATGCGTGCGTCTGTCGAGTTATCATGGACGCACACTGTAGTTTGCAGATTACGGGAGAAGCGTAAGATTTGCTCGAGGCTTGGTCGGGAGCAGCTCTAGGAGGGTAGAGGGAAGGGTTGGAGGCCAAAAGTGGGCGATTGAAAACTGCAAGTACTTATTTCAGGTTTGTTTTGGTAATAGATGGTAAATACTAAACATTCTTTAAACAATCTTTATTAATTAAACTTTCTTCTGAAAGCCAGCTATGCATCGAGTCAAACAATTTGTACTGTTTAATTTTCATGTTCCATTAGTTGTTCTAAAAATGGTGGACAGCGCTGAACCTACGTTTTCGTCCAGTTAGAATGAAATCTCGCAAGTTGGGCTGAAATTGAAGGGTGATTGAGGTCTTAACATCTCTTTGTTGAAGTGTTGTTCACTGTTAATCTTCTGTGAAGGTTGAGATTGATCCACGTCAAAACGTGAGGACTGAAGATACGACAAGACCTCTTTGAAAAGGCGTAAAACGAAAATCAAAATTTACCCTGATTAGCAGTTAATTGTGTTTGAACAACCGGGCCCCGGAGGCCCTGGAGTCTAGTTTTTGTCATTAATGCCAGGCATCAGGGAATGTTCCTTCCTGTAGCTTTTACCATAGAAACATCTCGATATTAAAAGGGTCTTAAAAATACAATCAATACAGAGCGCTACGATCTTGCATAGCTACATTATTCAAGGTAAGAGAAACTGAATAATTAACCGTTTTGAGTTTTAAAAAGGTTGAAAGTCGATCTATTCAAACCTCATAGAGTACTCATAATCCCTCGCGATGACGTCCCTAGCATTATATAAACAACTTAATGAAAGCAGCTGTATCAGTTAAGCTAACAAGTCACGAGCAATACAACTCGCAACAGCATGCCTGACCAGTCGCGTCCCATCCCGGTCGTCAACAATGATGTTGTGGTTCTTCAACCCGGCACAGATGGTGCGGCGAATAATCCACCTCGGAGGGGATACGGCTTCGTCAGGCCCCACGAGCTCTCTACAAGACTCGGCAGCTTCGCAACAAGATGCCGTTAATTCACAGGCCTCGATAAACACTGATAAAATTGGTGAAGCTAACAAAGCAGAATGAACTTTGGCGGTAAGGATTTTAGTTAAATCCTAATTTTTTCTTTATTCGAATGGGTTAACGAGCTTGTCGCACACGTTATATTTTCTCGGGTTTGTTTGTCGTTTCTTTCGCGAGTGCGTGGTTGATTATTTATGCAAAGATGCTCACACGGGCATGACGGCGAGTGTCATGTCTTGGCCTATTTGTGGATCTATTTTTTCGGAGTACACCTTGACGCGACTGGTCTTAATGTTTACTCATGCTTTGTTTCACACTTCTGTATCACGTGTGTTTATATTTGTAGGCTGCTTTGTTGTTATCTCAGAACACGGGAAAATTGGGGTACACGTTCGATTGAAAGGATCGAAGCCTGCTGAAGAGGTGTGGCTGTGTGCCCACTGAATAGGTGTGGCTGTGTGCCCATTGAATTAGTGTGGCTCTGTGCCAATTGAATTAGTGTGGCTGTGTCCACTGGACAGGTGTAGCTGTGTGCTCACAGAAGGGGTGTGGCTGTGTGCCCACTAAAGAGGTGTGGCTGTGTGCCCACTGAATAGATGTGGCTGTGTGCCCATTGAATTAGTGTGGCTGTGTCCGCTAGACAGGTGTAGCTGTGTGCTCACAGAAGGAGTGTGGCTGTGTACTCACTGGGGTTAAGTGACTATTTGTCTGCCAAAGAGGCGCAATAGTTTGCCTACTGATGAGGGCTAGGTGTGGATGTGTCCCTTCTGAAGAGTTGTGGCTTCATGTCCGTCAGCGCACTGTAGCTGTGTGCCCACTAAGGGGTCTGGTTGTGTATGCAGCTGGGTACCCGCAAAATTGGTAGCGTCGAAACAAGAAGCAGAGATTGCAAAGGTCGGTGAGAAGGCTCTGAAGGCGGTGAATCAACAAAAGGCCGGAAGAGAGCCTGGGAGGGCACGTCCTTCGCCTTATCAAGAGGAATGGGAAGGAGAGCTTTTAAACTAAAATGCTTTTCTTGCCGAAAGATGGGCCATATAGCCAAGTTCTGTCCGTTTGCACAGGCTTCACCGGGATCTAGCGTGAGAAAGGAAAATGTAGCTTGAGCAGTAGATGACCGAGGAGTTACATACTGTGAAGTAATTTAAAGCAACTTTAGGACTGGACACCGGATAACCGATATATGATGTAATATTAATGAGCATGGCAATTGATGGTAACAAAGAAGGAACACTGATGTTGGAAAGCAATGATATTTTTTCTTCACACTTACACACGCACACACACGCGCACGCACACAACAGGAAATTTGCTAATCGCGGTTAGCGAATTAAGTTGTCTTGGAATTTAAAAGGTTTGTTTGGTGAAAAGTGCGACATGCGACATCACAGCTTGTTTATTCTCTGGAACCCTTGAATGGTGGGATGACTCAGCAAGCGTTTCGCCTTATAAGGCATTCCCTTAGTGCTACGAATTCTCGGGCAGATGGGTCGTTTCCTCCGGGCTTGGATCTCCTTCTAGGGATAACGTAACTCCAAGTTCAGCTTTATTTTTCTTTTGTCTTGTTGCAGCCCAAGGCAACAAAGCAAAACCTGGAGCGACAATTCGATCCGATCACGGCTAGTCAGAATGCAAAGCTTCGCCGCATTAAGGTGATTCCCTAGTAAAAGAACCCGCCATAGATTTCCGATGAAACTTGGTATACTGTTGTTACAAGACAAGGAGATATCAAAAACGTAATAAAAGAGAGGGGGTAATCGTGCTTGTTTTCACGCCGCATTGCTGAAAATACGGTTATTTAGGTGCCTTTTGGTAATCTCCGTGCGCAACAAATAAGTTCGATTATTTTTCAATGCCAAGTTATATCACACAGAGTTTGACTTTCTTTGATTGTTTATTCATCTACGTCCCAGAAAAAAATGTCTTCAAATCCCCTGCATATTTTTATCCTTTAAAGGAAATATAATTTGGACATGCGCTGTTGGGTCCGTTATGTCTCCCTCTATAGTATTCATTTCATTTGCCAAAAAAGTAGATTTCTGCTAATTTTTTCCTCAGTTATCGAGGATATTGTTCTCATTGAAATTATGAAATAAAAAGTGGCGGTCACCGTGCTCGTTTAAGAGAAAAGGAGCATTTAACTCGCTATCGAGCTTAGTTTTAGGGAAATCTCTTTCGTTTTGTACGCGCACGCCCTCATGTGCGCGCGCTAATGACGCGAAAATCGTGCGCAGTAGGGATGTGCGATGCAACACTAAGGAATCACCTTAAGTGGGTACTCCTGGATAAAACCACGCGATAGAGCCCGCGTCTTTACTCGAAGAGTTTGTCAGAGTTTGGCGGAGAGTAACGGACATCTCTTTCCGAGACCCTGATTCTTTGAGGGTGGGAGAGCTCGATAAAAACTAATATTTGGCAGGCCTTCTATGTTGGATGACCATTAAACGTTAACTCACTCTAGCTTGCTTGTGTGGGTCTGGAGATTTTGAGGGTATGGAGTGTAAGGTTTGGGGGCAAGTATTGGAAGGTTGGATGTTGAGTTATTGTGATGGGCCTAGGTTGCTTAGGAGGGCTTCCCCAGCAGGGCGAGACAGGGAGGACTTTCCCATCCAGAAGTGTGTCTTCCAGGGAGCAATAAACAAAAGGCCCGTGTAAGAAACAACACTACTGACTGGAGTTTCCTCCGGGTGTAAAATACCGGAGACACACAAATAAAGCCTTTTGACGTGGGATAAAGTTACAGTCTGTTTACGAGATGCTCTGCATTTCGACTTTCAATAACTGCTGCACACCTAAAACCTCACAAGCAAGCCCTCGGACGTTTTATCTTTGCGGGAAATAACGCGATCAAATGCGCCAGTTCAACGCTTAACAAGAGCATATTATGTTGATCTATGTTCACATAATGTTTTTTTTTCCCTTTCCCTTCACTTCTCTACGCAGCCAGATATTGGGCTCCTGACAGAGCGTAGTACGTGACCAAAAAAAATAGCAATGTCATGTTCCTGTTCTTAATCACCAGCTGCGTCCTCTAGATATGAACATTTCAATGTACCGTGACGGAAATAACTCAAGATGGTCTTTCAAAGAATGTATTTTTCTAAGTGTTACCGTTTGAAAAGAGCTCACATTAACCTTTTAATGCGTTTTTTTTTTTGCAGTAAACAACTTGAATGAGTGAATATGAAAAGCAACGAACCATTTTGTTACTGTGGAAATGTAACTGATTTGAACGTGATATAGTTAGTATATAACAGGCGTTCCATGCGTAGGCCTTGGAAACTGGGGACGAGAAACGCAACATTGCTCGCTCTCCGTGACAGAATGCGGTGTTTTGCGAAGAAAGTTTTGGCAAGAAACGCGCCTTATACATTCATCTCACATACAAAGATGTCGATCGTTTTCAGAAAGGGTCGATCCACGAATTATATTGCTTGAAAGCCAGCCAGGTAAGCAAAGTTCACGCTCGAAACGTTCTCGTGAGATAACAATTAATTGAGCCGATTGCGGTATGAGTTCAATCTACGAAAACACTGGCAAAAAATAGGCAGTCAATGACGGTATGTGGCTACTGCTGTTATTATTTGGAACACTGCAGTAAAACGAATCATATTGCGATAAAACGAGCTAAATACGAAAACGTTTTTGGACTGGTAGCTCATTAAAAACATGCCGACTTGTTTCTTGCACCGCGCAAAATATGTCGATCTCCAAAGTTGTAAA